CCCGTAACTAATAACTAAACAATTGTTTACCATGAGTGAATAGTGTAACAGCACAACACAAGAATAAACTGTAATAAACAGCTGCGCCATGAGCGCACGATACGCCCGTCGCTTTTTCAAAAAATAAAGTTCAATAATAATTTGTTAATGTTATATCTGCAGTTTATGAAAAACTAAAGGAAGGTTATCTTAATAGATATAAACCAGTCACCAAAGCACTTTGAAGAAATTGTCCGAAAACTGGAAAATCACCAATTTTTTATGAATAATATCTCATAACTCGAAAATATAAAATTTATAAAATTTATAAAAATTGAAAAGGAGCTTGCGTCAATAGATATAAACAATTCACCAAAGTTTCACGAAAAATGCTGAAAGCATTTTTGAGTTATTCTCCGAAAACTGGAAAATTCCCCTTTTTTTTAATGAATAAAACCCAATAACTCTAAAGCTTTTTTGAGTTATTGTCCGACATGTTGACGACGGACGGACAGATGGACAGACGTATATGTTCAAATGATAATACACGCTAAAAAAAAATCGGAGAATTCTTATTTTATAGAATTGATGCTTTGTCGCTTAGTCCGAACCCCCCATTTTACTGTTATTTTAGTGTGAGATGATTTAAAATGTCTCATTTGTTGACAATAAAGTACAAGTCATTTGATGTGTGTGCAGCCTGCGATATTAATGTCGCGGAAGTGGGACACAACAAACCTATATTCCGTCGTCGGCGTCTTCATCATTTAGATCGTTTGAATTGATTTTACATTTGTCATTTCTGTACCTGTTATAGCTTACTATGCGGTATGGGTTTTTCTCATTGTTGAAGACCAGACAGTGACATATAGTTGTTAACTGCCATGTCATTTGGTATGCGGTGGAGAGTTGTCTCATTTGCAATCAAACCACATCTTCTTATTTTTATATAAGTTTTATTTGCATTAAATATTACCAAATTAAACTGTTTTGTCATGATAACTTTTTCAACTTCCATGAATTGTTATAAAACTTATATAGGAGTTAATCTTCTATATCGAGATAAAGCATGTACAGAAAAACAATTTTTTTAATTTTGTTTTTTATCGATAAATGGACGTTTTACAGTCAACATTACACTTTTACAATGACAGCAGCAATATCAGGCGAGAAACAGGGTTCCGTGGAATTCTTCACGAATTTATTGTAATACTGCTTCCATTTGAGAACTAAGGAAAAAAAACGGCAGGACCAAGTGGTTTGGGGATATCCCCCTTATGTCCGAAATATTGATATTTTTGTAGTACTTTTTTTTTCTTATTTTTGTCTCCCGTTCTCCTTTTTCATACCAAATAACTCTGAACAACAACTCGAACTTTAATTTAAACTTTAACTCAGTGGATAGTTACACTCATCCGAAGCACATTAAACAAACGACATATGGAAATCGGGCTAAAAATAAACCTTTTTTTTTCGAAAATGGTCACGTGGCTTTACCTCATCAAGTAATGTGATAACCACATCAAAGAATGATAGGACCACATCAAAGAATGATAGGACCACATCAAATACAGTCATCATGTAGTGTAAAATTGTCAAATTTTGAACCATCATTATATAATGTTAAAGCCATATGAAGAACTGGCAAATTATCATTACGAAATAACAAAACCACATCATGTAATGAAAAAAACAACATAACGTTAAGCCACATACACATCAAGTAATGTCAAAACCAGATTGCCTAATGATACAACCACATTAAATAATGATGAAATCACATCGAGTTATGACAAAACCATATCAAGTCAATACGAAACCATATCACGTAAAATCGAAATATTATTTAGTAATGACTATTCCATATTGAGTTATATCAAAACATCATTACGTAATGTCAAAACCATATTATGTAAAGACAAAATATCATCAAGTTATAATAATACAACATAACGTAATATCAGAGTACCACATAAGTCAGCTGTGGCGTTCCATAGAGAATAACTCATATTTCTGACTTGGTACAGGCATTTTTCGAAGAGAAAATGGTGGGTAAAAATTGGTTTTATAGCTAAATGTAGCTAAACCTCCCACTTGTATGACACTTCTTTATAGTTCCGTTATATTGACAAGATTGGGTGATCAACAGAAACAGACATAATATATGTAGGTTATCGTGACAATAATTGGGATCTAGTAGCCAAACTGTGTAAACATACATCACAGACATACAACACAACTGAATTAAAAATTCAAACAAACCTACAAATAAATCTAGCAAATACGTCAACAAATGGTGTTGTAGTTGATAGTAAATTAGCAACGATGCTGATAAAAACTTTTTGTAGTTGATAGTACATACCGTTTATAGTATAAACTTTCTCGATGATTTACAAACTAAGTAAAATATAAATACAAGGGTAAAAAAAACGGAAACAACACTGAAAAAACCTTTTGCTTATGAATTGCACCTCATGACCCACCTGCATCAGGAACGCCTAAAGTCAAAAACTCAATAGCGGGATGCATACATATCGAGCAACGTCAAAATAATAAGAAAAAGGACGAGAAATTCTATGTCAAAATCCTAGCATACTAATTTTTAGCTCAGACACCGATGCGTTTTACGAAGTTCAGCTACAAACTCTTGACTACTGTATGAGTTGAGAAATATATACTACATACTCGGGTGAAGTTGGAATATTGCTGCTAAGGTGAGGAAAATTTATAATTTTAAAATTGGAATAGTCTCGTTTGTCATTGATTCTGGTACGGAGATGTAGAAAAAATAAATAAATAAAAATAAAAAAAAAATTGTATTACATAAAATAGATATAATTCAGATTTAAAACATATCTTTACTACTTTTCTGCAATGTTTTGAGACATCCAAATAACGCAGCAGAGTAAGAAAAAAGTGCAGTAAAATTGTATCGTTGAAACTTCATCAAAGTTGAATGAAAAACATACGCAAAAGCTGCATTTTCAGATACAGAGCTGCAACAGAACAGGATAATTTGACCTAATAAACTATTGAATATAAAAATAAGGAGATGTGGTATGATTGCCATGAGACAATATCCACCAAAGTTCTAATGAATTGGATGCAAACATCTAAAGGCAACCGTACGGCTTTCAAAAATGAGAAAACCCGTACCGTACAGTTGGCTTTAAAAGGCTCCGACATGAAAAATATGAAACAATTCAACTGAGAAAACTAACCGCCTAATTTTTAAAAAACAATTTACGAAAAACAAATTTGACAGACATGAACCAACGACAACCACTGAACTGCAGGCTCCTGACTTGGGACAGGCACATACAGATTGTTGCGGGGTAAGACATGTTTGTGAGCGCTCAACCCTCCCCTAACTTGCATTGGACAGTGGTGTATCAGTACAACATAAGTACAAACTGTAAAAATCAGTTGAAAACGGCTTAACTCATCAGATCGATACAAAGCAGAAAAACATCAAACAAAAACACAGATCGTACGTGGTAAAGGTATTTATCCGTCCCTCATCCCTAACAACAAAGACAATAAGTACACATCTGGGAGTACTCGCAGTTACTGACGGCTAGTTTAAAGCCAATAACAACTAATAAAAAAATCATGTATCTAAGACTAAAATATCAATCAGTACACATCCAACATCCAATGGATTTAGTATTAAGACGTCATAAACAGTCAATGAAAAACATGACCTTGTGCAATGCAAAAATAAAGGTATCGACAGATTGTAGTACCGTGAAAGTACATACGTGTATGACAATAATAGTTACTTTGGTTTTAATTTACTGATTACAAAATCAATATTTATACTAATAAAGATAATATACAACGATTTAGTTTAATTGAAATTCAGAAATTTTATAGTATAAAATAAAATTAAGAATGGAAATGGAGAATGTGTCAAAGAGAAAACAACCGGACCAAAGAGCAGAAAACAGCCGAAGGCCACCAATGGGTCTTCAACACAGCGAGAAAATCCCGCACGCATTTATTATTGCGATTTTTGAAGAATGGACAAACATGCGATATAATTATTGCGATTGAAGGAAAATTTGCATACACATATAAGTATCAGATATTAGAATGGGTGTTCTTATTATTGCGATACTTACCCAGTCAGTCGCATTCTTCGCATTAATGAACACCTCACAATAATTTCTGAATTTACAGTTCAGTGTTAAAGGACTGATTAGTTTACCCAAATCGTATCTAAATTTCCGTGCTCGGTTAACAACATCGTCGTCAAATTTAGGGTGTGCTATTACTTTTGAAATAAGTTTTTTCTACAGGTACAGCCAAACTTCCTAACCAAATATTTGTATCTATGGAGGAATTTAGTAAAGGTTTTAAGTAATTTGTGGTAACGAAATACCTGACTTAATAATTTACTAGTAAAACATAGATTACGCTCATTGAAATCAAAAACGCCACTACAGACACGGGCACAGCAAAGTAGTTGGGATATATAAACACCGTAAGACGGTGCCGAAAGAACATCAACTAAAAAAAAAATGAAAATTAACAATAAGGAAAGAATAATCATCCCTTTTGTCGTAAATTTTTGTGTAGAGTTTCTGGTGTAACACTGAAATATCTGAATCTAGGAAAGGACATTTATTTAATATTTGATTCATTTAAAGTAAGTCCATTTGGGTAAATTTCGGCAGTATATTTAGAGAATTTTTGATTATTTAACGAAAAAATATCATCAAGATAATGGTAAGTGTTGTTGAATTTATCAATTAAATGGAATTTAGACGGTTTTTTACTGAGTTTGGCCATAAACTGCGATTCATAACAGTACAGGAGCATGTCTGTTATTAAAGGGACGCAATTGGTTCCCATAGGAATACCTACAACCTGTCGATCAACTTCTTGCCGAAACGTATATAAATGTTGTCAAAGGGAAAATTAACGGCTTTAATCATCTCATGACAAATTATTCAAGTAGTTAGTATATAGAATATAAGTAAATAGAATTCAAATAACACAAAAATATAAATGGTGAACTACCTTTATCAAGTGTTGGATATTTACAGGATACAATTGCTTATCCAGCAGCTATTAACCCACAGCACATTACATACAACCACATCATGTTTGGGACATTATCTGCTAAACATTCAAATGTATATTATATGTATAGGATAATTTCAACGATATCAACATAAAGGCTGAATATTATCAAAGTTTTCAAAGAGGATAACTCAAAAAGATCCATTGTAAAAACCTATAAAATTTCTTAAGACAATTCTTAAAGACACACAATCGTTGAAGTCTTGGAATGATATTGAGGCGTATATGTATATATATGTTGCGATTGCAACACAATGCCCTTAACAGTGAATATTCGACCAATATCGTAATGTTATATCGAGTTTCTCCTTTGTAAATAGTAACCTACGCCTAGCTTAAGAAACTTACGTATATCAATAACCAAATAACTCGTCATTCTTCAGATTCTAAAATGGTTGATTGATAGCATTGAAAGAGTCGAGTGAAAATATAGAATACAACACTATATAACTACATCTTCGAAAATGTGAGTTTCGTAAAATACCGAGGTGTTTTGATTCAATCTCGAAGGAAATGGTATCCTGTTTAGAACATAATAGAACGCATATATTCTATCTGACCATGTGACACGTTTTTCTTGAAGGGACAATTCATTTAACAAATTGCCTTTCATTTTTGGGGAATTTTTATTGCTATATTAACCTTTTCATCTTTCATCTTTTTTATCATTTCATAAAAAAACTAATTATTTAATTTAAGTAAAACCTGGTAGCGTTTAGTCTGATTGTCAAGTTAAGGTTTAAAGTCATTGTTATAAACTGAATCACCATCTAAACTCTCACCAGATTTAAAAACACCTTCAATTGCAATTGAAATGTTTAATGAATTATTGTTTTGAAAACGAAAAAATCATTAATTTTGTTAGTTTTCTGGCCTTCCCCTTTTTGGATTTGTCTTGGAGTATTTTTGATATACTTTTATACACATCGATGTGTTCTTTTGTCAAAAATATATATTTGTGTGAATAAAAGGAGATGCTGGATGTAAGTCAAACAGACACAAAAAAAAACGGCAATAAAAACACAAAAGACATCGAGATGTCAACATACAACCTTCAACAAGAGACAGCTGTTCATATAGTATGACAATCTGTAAATCGTCTTAAATAGTTGTAAATAAACTTTACAGAAACTACCAAAGATCTGTTATTAACACTTAATTCTCCAAAAACAAAACAAAAATGAAAAGTAATGACAAGATTCATGACTTGATTCCCTAAGTTTTTGTGTTAACTTGATTTGTGTTCTTATTTGATTTACGAGATTTGAACATCGGTAACTACAGTTGCCTATATTTTGGACGGATACATCTATATGTTTTGCGATTTCACCCCTGTTTAATCTCGGCCATTAATCCTACAAAAAGGAACATAAAAGAACAGGGAATAAAAATAAGCATAGAGACAGCACTTAAAAATAACGGTCAAATAATTAACAAAAACATAATAAAAAAAAAAAAAGGAAAAGGCGATATATGTTTGGTCGTAGCACAAAATTCTCCTATAAATAGTTACTGGTTTAAAAAGCTCGAAGTACGTAGCTTGATGATATGAAATCATACTCCTACATAAAGTATAAACATAACGAATCATGCGTCCTGTCTCCAGGCAAAAAATCTGGAAGCTATATGATTAAAATAAAATTATTATTCAGTAAAAAAAACTTGGGTAAAGATATGAACAGACGAAACGCCCCTCCGAAAAAATTTATAAAAACAACGCTGTTGTGTTATAAGTAAATGAAAAAAAAAAACACATCATGAATTATCTAATGAGGCTGATAAATGTTTTTTATGTAATGGCTTTTCAATTTTTCAATATTTTATATATGAAGAAAAAATGAAAACAGTCATATGAGCCGGTTTCAAATAATATAATACGATTTACTCTTTTGATAATACAAAAATGTTTGAAACGTCTGTCTTTGGTCATAAAATTATTATTAATGAAAGCAAATTAAAATTTGAATATTAGCTTTGAACACATACCTGTAGTTTCTTCATAAACATTATTTGAACAAGTTGTGTTTTCATAGTCAAGTGGATTTCCACGACAGACACACATATAACAATTTTCTATACCTGTAACATATACACATTGTTTTAGATGACCCAAAACTTGACATTTTATCTGAATGGACCAAAGCTGTTTAGTCGTGCCTTAAGCAGCGCATACAAAATCTACGACGTACAATGATCATACGGGTTTTTAACCCTTTCAAGACGCCCGAGGATATATATGTTCTATCCTCTCTCCCCGAAAAAATGTGTTATTGTTCCCGCAGTCATAGCGTCTACCAATATTGTTTTTATATGCAACAACATAATTGAAGAAATCAGAATTCACGGCAAAACCGTGAATCTAACATATACCACTAAATCATTCCATTAGAGGAGATTTTAGAAAATCGCATCATGCTTCTTCCTTTTATTGTTAAAATCAAAACGAAAGATGAAATTTTACCGTCTTTATACTAAATACTTTAACTTTACAAAAATTCGTATAATAACATAAACGGTACGAAGTTCACTACACCAGATGCGAATTTATAAAGAACGAGATATAGCCGGGTAGTCAAGTTGTTCAATTAAGCATCTTTCTAAAGTCCTACCACCTTCTTTTTACAGTAAAAGATGACCCTCAAAAATATTGTGATGAGATATATTTTACCAGTGTTGCCGATCAGATGTGGATTTGAAATAAAATAAAAGATCTGCTGCGGAATCATTATTCACAGTCACTACAATCGTCTCATTAAACAAAGGTACAATTTACTTATTTCAGATCATGCAAAAACTTATTTTGTAAAAAAAAAAAAAAAAAAAAAAAAGAAGATGGTTTTGTTTATTTTCTGGACAACATTTTCTCTGAGTATGTCGGATTGCTATTTCAACATATCAATGGGTATTACTAATTGTGCACCACTACTGGCCGAATTGTTTTTGTCTTTTTTTTTCATCTTAAAATATCTTTATTGCACTTTTCTTTGCTGTAATGATAAATTACTTGACCTTCAGCAGTTGGCCGAGTATCCCTGTGAATTTGTCACTGAATCACCAGGAAATTACGAGGTGAATTCATATTTATAAGTAGTTAGTAAGTTTTACAACTGATAGTTAATACAAACATTTTTTGAATATATAAAGTCACATGATTACGGAAAATGTACAGTTTTGTCCGCTTTTGTTGTTCAGTACTAGAACTTTATGATCATTGACCTTAACCTTTTCAAAGAACCGTTAATCAGTTGTCTGAATGCGTCTTACTGCCTGTTTGCGCGAACAGCTTTAACTTCAATTGAATACTGTTAGTGGTAAGTCTTGGAGTCGTCGAAAGTTTGTTTCAACATTCTGATTGAGCTGTCATGTGATAAATTATAAGCATATGAGTTTGGAGACCATTACTGTACATTCGTTTTCAGTTAGCATGCCGTTTTAATTTATTACCACGTGTTCAGATCCATTTAATGCATACATGATGAGATTATACAAAATTATCGTATTTCTGAAAATAGTTTATATCTAGCTATTGATGATCATATTTATCTTTTTATATCATTTAGATATTTGCTGTTTTAGTTTCAATCAATTTGTTAATTTCGTATAGGTTCAAAAATTCATTTCTGCAAACTGCATAAACATCTATACCTTTTTGTTAATAGTTGGATATATGAGTACTTTTATGAATTGAATAGATCAAGATAGTTAAAAAAAAGATTTATATCATGATACATAGCCCAATACTAAAGTTTTTATATTAATAATATTTGACCCTATCTTAATTTTTCTTACAAGTACTTTGTTCCAAAATTCATGAAAGTTTTGACATTTAAGAAAAAAATGTTCGTAGTCTTCAGTCAAATTACACAGGTCACACATACTGGTATCTTGTTTGTTCCATTGTTGTAGTAATTGTTTACATGGGAGAATGTAATGGAATAATTTTCATCTTAACATTTTATATTTGTTATTTATTGAATAAGAAAAAGTATATTGTAGCATGTTACATATTGGAGTGATTGATTATAATTTAAAGACGTTTTTCCATTTAAAGAATCCTATTGTTTTTGTAATCATTTGAAGTAGAATCACAAATAACCTTCTTAAAGACAAACAGAATAAAATTAATTTCACTTTCAGATACATTTATGATGTCCAGTCACTCTTTAACCTACATTTCAGTGATTACTTGCATCTCATATATAACTGTGAACTTAGGAATATGGATACGATCAAGATCAGTTATTCTTCGGTATAAACATAGATAGATTTTAAACTAAAATATATGACAACCGTAATGATTTCAACTTTCCAATTGTTATCTTCCTTTTTCTCAACAAAACGATGTCCTCTATCTCATCATATAGCGCCAAACCATCTAAATTGATACGTTACGCTCGTGCATGTTCAAACTATATTTTCATTAGCAGGGTTGTTCTCCTTACACAAAAACTGCTCCAACAGAATTATGAGGAAGAAAGACTAAAATCGACACTTCATAAGTTTTACGGTTACCATCACAAATCGGTTGACCGATCAGATGTATCTGTGTCTTACCTCAATAGCGTCAACTTTTCGCAGTCGTAGATTTGTAGATATTAGAATAGTCGTATAATCTGTAATTTTACCGATTTTGTCCTACTCTCGATTGTGATGTTATGACTGAATGTGGATTAGCATGACGGGTGATGAATGCATATCAAACGATGCTTACACTATCGACGCACTTGATCCAACTCCGTTTGGAGTTCATGCCATTTCCTCAGTTTTTGTGTGTTGCCTTGATTTGTTTTCTTAATCGGTTGATGAAATTTGAACATCGAAAGACAACTGTTGTCTAAATTTAGAACAAAGGCTTGCGGAAGAAAAAACAACATTGAGAATTAAATGAATGATCGTGAGCAGTATTGATAACAATCGTCTGATGTCAACATTGGTTATGTGAGTTTCAAAGTACGATTTACAGAAATCATAAAATGTTTAGATATAAGATAAAATTGAGAATGGAAATGGGGAATGTGTCAAAGAGACAACAACCCGACCACAGAACAGACAACAGCAGAAGGCCACCAACAGGTCTTCAATGCAGCGAGAAATTCCCGCACCCGGAGGCGTCCTTCAGCTGGCCCCTAAACAAATATATATACTAGTTCAGTGATAATGAACGTCATACTAAACTCCAAATTGTACACAAGAAACTAAAATTAAAAATAATACAAGACTAACAAAGGCTAGAGGCTCCTGACTTGGGACAGGCGCAAAAATGCGGCGGGGTTAAACATGTTTATGAGATCTCAACCCTCCCCCTATACCTCTAGCCAATGTAGAAAAGTAAACGCATAACAATACGCACATTAAAATTCAGTTCAAGAGAAGTCCGAGTCTGATGTCAGAAGATGTAACCAAAGAAAATAAACAAAATGACAATAATACATAAATAACAACAGACTACTAGCAGTTAACTGACATGCCAGCTCCAGACTTCAATTAAACTGATTGAAAGATTATGTCTTCATCATATGAATATCAGGCACAATCCTTCCCGTTAGGGGTTTAGTATCATACCATCATAACATATATGAGAAGAACATAACCCGTGTCATGCCAACAACTGGTTTTTAAATAAATGTGTTTAGTGCAGATGCAAAGACCTTATAAGTGAATCAATATCAACGCCAAAATATGCAATCTTTAATGACCTGACAACAGTATCGTAACTATATCCCTTCTTAATAAGTCTATTTAAAGGTTTTGTTAGTTTCAGAGATGAATACTGACATTTGGTAATCAAAATCATGAGTTATAAACGAACAGAAATAGGCAAATTCTGCAAAATAGCACAAAGAAATCTTCAAATTTAGAAACACGACACTCATGACCTGATGATAACTGGGGTAAACGTGTGTAGGATTATAATTTTCTTCCCAACAAGTGGTAACGTGGAATTGGTCGTGATATGTAAAATTTAGATTACAAGTAAATAAGTAACGAAGTCCTCCTTTCATATCCGTCTAGGATATCAATCCAGCTATGAGCATCTGAGCTAAGAATGAAAAAGAAGTTGCACTTATATTCTCTTTTTTTTCAAAATGTGTTTTAACATAATTCAAATTTAAATCAATTGGTAACGTCTTGAATAAAAAAAATCATATTTAAACTTCTATAGATATAAGAAGATGTGGTATGAGTGCCTATGAGACAACTCTCCATCCAAGTCTCAATTTGTAAAAGTAAATCATTATAGGCCAAAGTACGGCCTTCAACACGGAGCCTTGGCGCACACCGAACAGCAAGCTATAAAGGGCCCCAACAATAACTAGTGTAAAACCATTCAAACGGGAAAACCAACGGTCTAATCTATATAAAAAACGAGAAACACTTATGGACCACATCAACAAACGACAACCACTGAACATAAGGTTCCTGACTTAGGACAGGTGCAAACAAGTGCAGCGGTTTTAAAAGTTTTAATAGACGCCAACTTCACTCTAACCTGAAACAAAAGTGAAACATCACAACATAGAAAGACCCACTATAAAATATCAATTGAAATGGCTTAACTCAATCAAAAGACACGTAAAACAATATCAGAAAGACAACCATACCCGTGGACAAATGCCGCCAAATAAAATAACGTATACAGGTAAATAAAAATAATTTTGTTGTAAGGTAAACATGGAGTAATTTGTTTTACAAAATAAATAATTGTGTTGTTCATAGTACGAGAACAGAAGTGAAAATGATCGTCATACCAAAGACTTATCAAAGGTGGTGGATATTAAAAATATTGAGACGTAATATAACACTAAATAAGTAAACAGTAAATAACAAAAATGCATTAAAAATTGTATCAGCAGGTCAAATTAAAACGAAAGTACGATTTGAAAGTACTCGCAGTTACTGAAAGCTAGTTAAAAGCCACAAAACAATTAATAATAAAAAATCATGCATCAGATACTAATCATACCTGTTTTGTATGTTGAAACATTACTAGTACAAGAACTGTTGGTTTGAATTCCGGAATTTTCGTGCCTATGTTCTGGATCTATAAACAATAAATATATGCAGATATACTAGTATTTAGCATGGCAATCGTCTTCATCCTCGGAAGGATATATCAAGAATATAAGTATTAATAAGATACATGATACTCACCGGCGTAAAACAATCTTGGATTATGATATATGACACTTAACTTCCATTATTTAAGTCGACCTTTGAACTTTCAACACTTTTAAAGCAATTGTGTTCATCCTGATGTTAAGTGCTGTTCGTACTGGTCAATCCTTAGACTTCTGTGTAATGTATATAAGACTGTTACTGGTCTTTTTGTTTTGTCTATATTTTGCTACGGTGTTGTTTGCCCCTTTTATGAGTTTCATTTCAACCATCGGTATATTTGTCATTTATTTTAACTTTTCTGAAGAAAAAAAAATTGATCCGTAGACGTTTTGAATGTTGTACTTGAAATTTTTTTTATTGAATACTCCTATTGAATATATGGGTTTTTCGGTTTCCAAATATTTTGTCACAAGCCTACTTGTTGAAATAGCATCAAAAGTACCAATTTTACTGCACCAGATGCGCATTTCCACAATAAATTACGCTTTAGTGATGCTCAAAGCCAAAATATTTAAAAATCCAAAACTTATTCAAAAAATGAACAGCTTATTAACTTAAAAGAACAAACAAAAAGTATAGCCAAAGCCGGGCAAGGAATCAGAGCTTTGCATGAGGAAGATAAACTCCTTAATTTGAAATTGATTCAAAAATGTTTGTAACAGCAAATCTTGATAACACAATATCCGTATTTTCATGAAGTGAGATGATAAAAAACACTTCGATTGTAGACAAAATTGATATCAATGATTTTTCATTTACCTTCATCGCTTCCCGCTAATAAATTAAAAGGAAAGAGTATATATATTTTCGGAAACTTTTTATTTGGGTAAAATAAATATTAAATGGTATAATTAAAGTACAAATATATAAAACGACCAAAAGACCAAACGACAAACAAGTATTCTATATTTATAATAAAAAAATAAATAAAAAGAATTGGCAGTAAAGAAAGCAAGGGAGATAACAAAATATTAAAACCATAAGTAGAAAGGGAAAGATATAAAAATTGCAGAAAAGCAATTAGAATACATAGAAAACACACCAACATGGAAAACTAGTACATTTTTAGCCGAATATTTTTCTTTCTTTTTTTAACGCCAGTACTATCTGAATATTGCCTTTTATTATGAGATGAAACCACCATGAAGTTAAACCTTTGTCGTGCAAGCATTTGTAGGTTTCATTAGCATCCTTAGTTAAGTTATATATTGTCAAATTAAATTCTCCTTTTTCCTCATTAACATCATCCTCAATATTTGATGGCAAATAGTTGTCTTCTCCTTTATGTCCTTGATACAACGTTATTATAGGATTCTTGGACGCATTTCTCCTGAACCAACTAACAGTTTTATTGATACCAGCTGAGGGACATGATAATGTAACGTCTTTTCCACATACGAGAATTGTTGTATTATTTTTGGAAGACATACATGCTGAAATGAATTGTTAAAGTTTATACCTTAAAAAAAGTACAATGTCAATATTAATTAAAGGAGAAAAAATAAGTTGTTGTTTGTAGCAGTTCCTTCAAGTCGAGTTAAACAAGTCTGTTATTATTAACAGTGTAGAAAGAAAACATTACGCAATAACCATGATACTACTAAAAAATTCAGTATGAAAGAGCTGTGTAATAATAAAAAAATAAATATGACTCGACACAGTGGAATATGTATTTAAATTTAATTTTTGCATTTTGCTGATCATATTTTTAAAGCAATTTTAGAATTGTTATTGATTAAAAAAATTGCTCAGAAACATAATTAAGGAATAAAAAACTCACCTTCTATCGTGAAAAGAATGGTCATGATTTTGAAAATGTTCTCCATGATGTAAGTATCTAATAAGTGTTAATTTCAATAATTTCTGTCAATCAATAATAAAAAAAAAAAGCAATAAGGAAAAAATAATTTATAAAATATTAGGAATATGTTAGGAAAACAATGATTACGTCCTTTATTACTGATGATACTTTTTGCATTATGGTAATTTTTTTTTATTTAGTTTATGTCCATTTTTAAAGTTTAGAATGGCGATCAGTATAATGCATATAAAGTCAAATGAATAACGAATATTCATATTGCATTATTCAGTAAAAATGAAAACACGGCGTTTCATGTTGTCCCTATTTAATCATGACAAAAAATATATATGGTAAAAGAGAAGCTGCTAGTCACAAGTTTTGTCATTGTAATACTCATATTATAGGGTTAAGTGCTATGCGTTATCATATCTTGTCTCTTCGTTCTTCTCAATGCCTTTTATCATTACACTGGTCGAGGTACAAAGAATGGCAGTATCATAACAAAATAATGTATATTGCTGTTTTCATTTTTATCTTTTTTCTGTTAAAAATTATCATGTTTGTTCCAAATTTAAAGCTTTAAATAAAATCAATTGATTGAATAGGATTAAGTTCCAAATCACACAGCAATTCTGTGAGGAGGTTATACATGATCAATGTATTGGAAGATTACATTTCTTAATTGTTTGACTTCTACAAACAAGCTATTTTTAAACAAAAGTAAATAATTCTTTAGATTGAGCTCTTGGTTGCCGATGGTGTAAGTTTATTTGATACTTGTGGTGTGCGTTATATTCTGTTTTGTGTGAAAATACTCAACAGACGGACCCATCAAAACAGACATGAAGGTGGAAATGTAGCTCCATTGTCATGGGTAGATGTCTGCATCAAATCCAAAATATAATAGTCGCTAACTATTCATTCTATTGTTCAACATGGATACGGATTTCCTGTTTCTGCCATTTATTCTGTACTTTTCATTTTTAGATTTCCTATCTGCATTATTTTTCTGCGAATTAAAAAATTATTTAAAATGTATAAATGTCATTGAGTGAATCGGATTGACAATAGAAAGCCGTACTTTTTCATCTCATATTTCTAATGATGTAGCTTGAAATATATATCTCATAACTGATACCAGAACCCAGCGTTCAGTTGAGTTTTAAAACTCTAATTTGATCTGTAATAACATTAACGGTGCCAATTTTTATGCACCAAATGTCTTTTCAGTGATGGGCAAGGCCAAAATATTTGAAAATCCGAAGCTAATTAATATGATGAATAGCTTATATACCAAAAGAAGGTGGTAACGCTTTCATGGAAATGATAAACTAAATGAAAGTATAATTGTCGACAGAGTTTGGATTAGATACAAAATATGATAATTTGCAGATCTTCTTCAATATTCAGATTCCTTAATACTTAAAAGTACTTAAGTAAATATGTGTTTGAAATTCCTTTTTTGAAAATTTTGAGGTTACCTCCGCTGAAATCGAATTACGTTTTGTTATACGTTCCCTTGTAATAACATTATCGGCACCGGTGTTACTGTACTAAATGTGCATTTGGATAATTGATCATGTCTTTTCGGTGATGCTCGAGACCAAAAGATTTGAAAGTTAAAACATCAATAAAACGTTATAAATTTACCGGAATTGTTTTAAAGTATACTAAGTAAGCCCTTATTCAACATTTAACTAGGAAATTAAGTGCCAGGAATTATGTTCCATGAAAAATGAGTCCATAGTTAGTGCAATATGTTCTGCATTCCTTCTCCTACCAAAATATGTTATTTGCATAATTTTCTATTACAATTCAGAACATGGACTATTTTGGGGAAACTCCTCTGAAAATGAAAAATGATAAAAAGTATTTGAAGAAAAACGAATAATGAAAGTTTTCTTCTAACGAAGTCTATGTTATAAATTTATTTTTTAAAGTTTTAAGGAAAAATAGTCCATTGCCAAAAAAAAAAAAAAAACGACGAAAAAACACCTAACAGAAAATATCTAAAATTATCTAATGATTCGAAAAAATTGTGGCTGAAACCCAATTCAAATTCTTTATAGAGAACAACAATCCTATTCTGCTTTTAAGTGAATCTAGTCACACATTTTGTTGTGTCGACGTGGTTTCTACTGGTTTCTCGTGGAAGGATCATTTATTATTGTAAAAGTTGGTCTTTTTATTTTTTGCGGACGGACTGTTAGTCCCCGGGGGTATCATCAACTCAGTATTCAGTGTTTCGATACCGACAGGATTTATAACAAACTTTTCTAAAATTCACCGTTGATAAATAACGGAATTATAATGAAACTAAGTTTTGGCTACTTTGTAAATCCCTTTTAGTCATATAGCTCTTTAAGTTATTGGTCTTATACGTCTTGGCTTTCAAATGTTTGGGTTTGGGCGTTTTTTATGGAGATATATCTACAAAAACCCTTCTGACACACTTAATTACTAGAGTGCTATTTGTTTTAATTCCGCTAGCAAACCAATGAAAACATGAACTACTTAAAAATGATAATAACAGAAATTGGAAAATATTTTAAAGGTTATTATTAAAGAAATCATTACAAACAGATACATAAAAAAAATTATTTCTAACACACAACAAGACTTGTTATGCCTTTTTCAGATTACGCCTTCCTCTGAATCTCCCTCAAGTCACCATGTTTCGTCAGTAACTGGTTTGTGAGTACATAAATCGGATTAATATAAATGGTCCTCCGTTTTAAGACCTACTGCTAATGCAAAATCCGTATTATTTTTATATGTATATGTTGATATTTTGAGATACGTTAGAAAGCGACGAGGACGACTGACTAGTATTTGTTTTGATCAAATCACTTTGTCTGTCATCGGAAGCTGTATTCTGCAAATCCTGTAGAATTTCAGATAACAAATGTAGATGTCTTGATTCTTCGTGTGCATCTTCTTCATTATTAGATACTTCCTGCATTTCGATTTGTATTGGTGAGTGTCTAACAACGTCTGTCTGTGACACTGGGAAATTCGTTTGTTTATATTGAATCCGGATACAAGCATGACCAATGAGTGAAACTATTATCAAAACTAGAACTAGTAGCACAACGATCACGCCATAAATGATCTT